GCGGAAGCGCGGCGCCAAGGGGCGAGACCGGGGCAGCCGGGCTGCGGCGGTCGTTGCCATGCTGCAGCAGGTGTCCGAGGAGCAGGTGCAGGAGATCGCGCAGGTCTGCAGGTGGGCTTTTCACTGCCTGCTGGTATTAAGCAGTACCTTCAGAAATTGCACCTCGTTGTGTTAAGAATCCTGGTCCTTTTCCAATCAATTACCAGTGATCAGTGGAGTGTGCCAAAGGGACTCAGAGGGTGCCTTTCTGTTTTCCTGCCATGCTGCCTTCCAAACGTATGCTCAGACAGAGGCTGTGCTCCACTTAGGCCCCGTGCTTGGCACAAGCCTTTTGATGCATGTGCAGCAGAAACATGGCTATCCACAAGATTGCCTTGTAGTAGAGGTCAACTCACAGTGATTGCCATCTAATGCTGTGCAGCCACGCTTGCTGCATGGCTGTCCCCTTTGAGCATTTAACAAAGGGATTTGAGAATCGCCTTGCAATATATCATAATATAATCTATAATATTGCTACATATATTGAATCTCCTTGGTAAAGGTCATTCCATCTGGGCAGACGAGCAGACCACTAGGTGAGAGCACACCAGGTGGGCGAGAATTGGATGCCATGTGTGCAGTTTAGAGGCCCCACGGTGTGGCTGCAGACACACACTGTGTATGCCCATATGGCCATTTGCCTTTGGTTCGCCGACCCTGTCACAACAATAACAATACCACAAAAAGGGACAGCAGCAGCAGTAATAGTAACAGTAACAGTGATAGTAATAGTAATAACAATAACAATAACAATAACAATAATAAATGTGCAGGTCGCACACAGATGAGATAGCGGGGAGCATGCAGGAGCTGGAGGGGATGCAGGCGGCAGTGGAGGAGCTGAGGGAGCAGGTGGGGGAGGCCCAGGGGGGCCTCCAGGCCTCGGGCGAGGGCCTGCTCAAAATCCTGGACATGCTGCAAGAGGCCTCCCGCGTCCTGGCCGCCATCCGCAAGTCCCGCAAGGCGTGTTCCTTTCATTCGCAACAGCATGATGCATGACAAAAATCCGGAGAAATTGGCGAGAATTACACGCTGGGATAGCGATTTAAAGCCTTTGGGGGAGACATATTGCTCGAATACTTCGCTGTATAACCCCCAATTAGGGGTTTTTAATAGAGAAGCTAAATCCACTGTTGCAATCTGGAGGAGATTTTGGTACTGTAAAGACCCCCTTTACCCTCACCTAAACCCTGACCATTGAATCCCAGGCTCTGCGACCCTAACTGAAGTGTTTGAGATTTAGTTCCCGGCCTAGGTGTGCCTTTTAGTCACACCTGATAAATGCATGACTAAATCTGGAGATGGATAGTGCCGCTGCCTATCAGAGAAATGCCGGATGCTTGCTGGCACACTCCTTCGTCAAGCCCTTCGGCGAACAGCCTTCCATGGCTTACACATGGTGTGTTTAGCGGTTGGACCATATCAGCAGCTTGTCGTTTCAACAAGGATGCTTGTGATATTTGCAGTCCAACACAGCACTTTTTAGTGCGCCCTAGGAGTGCATGCAAATATCCTGGTCTAACTCTCAGCTGCCTGTTGCACAGGCAGTGGAGCTGGCGATCCGGTTGCTGCAGATGACTGCTGCTGCAGGCCACTTCCTGCAGGAGAATCGCCTGTACAAGTCCTTTCGCCTGCTGCAACGCGTGCGCGACACCCTGCCAGAATCTAGCGCAAACGACGAATCCAAGTCGGGGTGAGTCAGCCTTGCTGTACCCATGGATAGCCTTGTATGGGAAGCAAGGGCATGGGCGCTGTGGCATCCGCATTGATTAGATGGATTTTGCTGAGCCATGGCAGCTCACTGCATGCATGTCATGATTGCTCAATCCGTGGTCATCATATTACGCTCTAATTTTCGGCATCTTCTTCTATCGGAGTTGCGGTCTCCGGTGTGACTTTCATGACTGTCTTTGCAGCTTTATCCTGAAATCTCTCAACAGGAGTTATTTTTTTGTTGGATCACCCTGACCATGGAGTAAAATACAGTCTGGAGGTGGTGATAGCATGTTTTGACACACTTGTCTGTGTGCCCTAACTTTTTTAACACTTTCTGACTGGGATCTGTGGGTAGAAATGACAGACCCCTTACAATCTTGTTTGAAAAGTGTTGCACTGAAGCACATTCAGTGCTTTTGAAACTACTGGGGCACCTCAGCATTTGCTAGATACTTCAGCATGCAAGAGTGTCTAAAAATTTGTTGATGTTGCCTGAACAGGCCAGCGCTGAGCTCAGCGAGGGGCAGCCTGACGCGGACGATGTCAGCAAAGGGCGCCGCTGAGCTGGCGGCGCCGACGCCGGAGCACAGCAGCGGCAGGCCCCAGCTGGGGAACCTGCAGAAGGTGCTCCTGGAGCGCGTCGACATGCTCACCAAAGCCCTCGAGCAGAAGGCCATCACCGACTTCAATGACTGGCTGGTGCGCTTCATCCCACACACTTCTAAATCCCTCTGTCTTCTAAATCCGTCTGAAAAGGATAATTAAAAATATAGAATGGGAACCCTGTCCCCATACACTGGACCAGCCATGGCTCGCCAAGGTGCGTGACCCACACGTGAACTGACTGCCCATTTGGGCCAGGGTAGCCCCGACTTGGACCTGGGCTTAAATTTGTCTGTTCTTCAATGTGTGTGCCGGCCCCTTGCATTGTGTTTTGAATTGTCTCCAGCAAGGTCACTTGGGCAACGTTGGTGAGCAAGGCATCTGAGCTGCAGCTTCAACTCATGCGAGGGACAAGATGCGTGTAAACATCCCTTGAATTGTTGGGAAGCCTTGGCTGTGATTGAGGGATGGAAGCAGACTTCTCCAAAGCATTGAGCCCGATCGGCTGGAAGCAGTCTTCAGTTCAACCGGTTATGTGCGCGCAGGTGGTGGGCATGCGCATGCTGTGTCGGGCTGCGGCCACGCGCGCGTGCCTGATCGGCTGGAAACATGTGCTCGGTTGATCCATTCATGCGCGCGCAGGTGAGTGTGAGGGCGGAGGCGCAGGTGGTGGGCATGCGCGTGCTGTGTCGAGCGGCGGCCGAGCGCGCTCGTGAGGAGGCCGCCGCGCGCCAGCGCCGCGCGCTGCTCGCGCAGCTGCCGGCAGCTGCCGAAGCCGGCCGCGCCCCGGCAGTCCCCGCCGCCTCCGAAGGTGCGCTCCTTCTCTGTCTTTATCCGTGCAGCGTGCAAGGAATTTACATGGCCAAATAGACATTTATTCAGGTTTTAGGGTTTAGGACCTGAGCCTGAACCCTTAAAATGAAAAATATAAAAATGCACCTTTTCAGAACCGAGGGTGCTCGGGAAAGTGCGGCGCATCACATGCCTGTTGTGGCTCACATCAGCTAACCCGTGAGGTTCTTTTGTATCTCAACTTTTGTGCAATATCTGCTCATGGTTTCACAGTGTTCACACGTGCACTTGTTTGAGCAGCGTTGCTTCCACTTGATTGCCAGGCGGCGGTGCAAGCGAGGCGCTTTGGTTGGACCCAAAAGCAAACCCAGCAGCCGCGGAGATTCTTGCCAACCCGCCTCCCGACAGCGGTAGTGAAGTCCTGGGGAGCATCAACATGACGCTCTTGCTCAGGTCAGCATGCATGCCTCATCAGTTGTTGCAAGATTGTGATTTGCTCTGCAAGTGGTCTCTCAAGCGCAGCACGCGCCAGCAAGTTATCACATGAGACAGCTGCTGTTGTGCGGTGCTCCTTGCACCAATGTGTCTTGCCATATCTCACTTTTGCAATGGTGAAAGGTGCACAAAAATTGAAATGTGCGCCTTCTCCCTGCACTGCTGTGGATACTGCATAGCTTGTGCCCTTCTCCTGTCCAGACTCGTCATACCATGTCGACCCTTTGCACCCCATCGCTTCTCAAAAGTCCAGAAAGAGTTGACTGGTGTGCACAGCTGTGTGCACATCTACGCTTCCTGGACAGCTGGGAAGCATTTAGTATATTCTGGCATACTGATTCCAAGGTACCTCTGTTCACATGTTAATCAGCATGCATTGCCATGTGCGCGCAGGTGTGTGCAGGTGCACGAGTGCCTGGGGAAACTGCAGGGCTTCCAGGAGTCGTACCAGCGGAACCGGCGGCTGCAGCTGAACAGCGACCTCGCGCCGCCGGCCAACTTCTCGGAGGGGTACCGCCCCTTCGTCGCGCAGCTCGCCGGCTTCTTCATCATCGAGGACCGCGTGCAGCGCCGCTGCCACGCCCTCTGCGCTGGTGCCCAGGTGATCATCATTTCATGTTTGTTCTCCACGATAAGTTCTCTGTCCAGCAAAAGATGGGTGGGAAGAAACCTTAGAATATGCCCTCACTTCCTCCGAGAAATCTGGAGAATGAGTGTTTTTTTTTGCCAGGACTCCCCTTGCGGTATGCTTCTCCAAGGATGGAAAGGCCCTTTAATGTATCCATGAGCGTGAAGGGGCTATTTTTGATGGGGCAAAGGACTGTTCCTATGAGTTTGTCAGACATGTGTCTCAGATGCACAGATGTGCAGACGGGAAGTATGGGGCAAAGCACTGCACGTCATAACCTCTATGAGAACTTGTCTGTTGCCTTTACTGTGTGAAAGAGCAGAGAAAAAGGGGCCAAAGCAATGTGCTTAATACTTTCTATCAGAAAAGTAGTAGAAGAAAAGACTTTGCTGCTGAAGGGCCCACACAAGGAGGAGAGGAGGGTGGTTCCTGCTGACTCATCGCATGTTGGCTGAACAGGCCGATGCTGGATGGGAGACAGCAGTGGCGGTGTTGAAGACGGTGCTCAACATAGCCTTTGACACTACTACATCAGCAGGCGCTATGTTGCGCATGAAGGACTTTGTGCTCCTGGTCTGCTCAGCGCTTGGTGCGTTTCCATTGGGCTCTCAATGAGGAATCGGGCATTTCAAGAACTTCTTGCAATAAATTGGGAGAAGGGAGAGACTCGTTTGCGATTTTCAGATCTCGTGCCCATTTCAAATGAATATGTATGAAAAAAGCTGTGTTTCAGAGGGAGGTTTCGATCCGTCGACCTGTGGGTTATGGGCCCACCGCTCTTCCACTGAGCTACTCTGAACACTTTCGAGCTGCTGATGCAGATTCACCCACTGCAACATAACATCTAGAGTAGAGGAGATAGCTTTGGGGCACGCCTCAGTCTGTGCACTACTTACTGCTAACGAAATGGAAGCTCTGCAGAAAGCAACTTGCTTGTCACCGTTTCAGGATGCGGCACCTTGCTGTACTGCTTTTCGTGGCTAGACAACCCCAGACAAGCAAAGCATGCAGCAGTCATTGATCGGTGTTGCGTGAAGAAAGGACTGACTTGTGCGCTATGCTCACAGGAAATTGCGGGTACCATGTGGTGCCAGTTCAGGAGATCCTCATGAGCGGCCGAGCGAAGTACCAGGAGCTGCTTTGCACCGCTCTGGCCGCCCAGCTGGCAGCGCAGGTGACCTGCTATGCCTTTCTTGCCCAATCTTCTCATCCCATCTCCTTATCCCATCTTCTGATCCCATCTGCTTTTCTGGCAGTGTTGCCCTGAGTCTTCTTTCTCCAACAATTGTATCAACGACTGTTGTCCCAGAACTTCAAGGCCCCACCAAAGCAGTCAAATCCCTTTTTCTTGTACGAGATGCTAGTAACACTTTTACAGTCAGCTCAGACAATGGTGGAAGAGCATGTCTGCGACTGCCAAAGATGACAGAGTTGCCCAATTCCGCAACCTGGCGAGATACCATTTGTTAACATGTTGACGATCTAAACTAGAGCTCATTACTGCTTCCTGTTCAGGTGGCACAGCCAACCAGTCCGGCCGCACTAGCGCTGTGGGCACAGGAGTCCCCGCTGCTTTTGAGAGACCTCCTCCTGCTTTGCACAATTTTGTTTTCAGGAGGTTGAACTCGTGGTTTAACCCCTGCTCAGGTGGCACAGCCGACCAGTCCGGCCGCTCTAGCGCTGTGGGCGCAGGCGTCTCCGCTGCTGCCGGCAGAAGTTCCAGATAAAGCGACTGCAGCACAGCAATTGAGAGACCTCCTCATCTTCATCACTTAGCAACACTCAGGAAGAAAGGGTTGTGTGTTCAGGTGGCACAGCCCACGAGTCCGGCCGCGCTGGCGCTGTGGGCGCAGGTGTCTCCGCTGCTGCCGGCCGAGGTGCCGGACGAGGGGACCGCGGCGGCCATGCGTGCTCTCGGCCTCCCGCTCACGCTCAGCGGCGAGGAGCCGCCGGCGTCGGCCTTTGCCGCACCCTTCTCCGGAGTTGTTCCCTTCCTGCTTCGCCTCTTCCGCAGGTACTTTTCCACCGTAGGCTTGCCAAGTATCCTGAGTTCGCCTGTCAAACTCAAAGGTCACCTCATGACAGGCAGTGCATCACCATCGTTACTAAGGCCGGGGCATCTTGATGATTTCCTGCGATTCACTGGGTCCCATGTGCCCACTTCCAAATACAAGTGAGTCATGATAAGTGCTGAGTGACAAGAGCATGCACACACTGCGGCAATTCTGACCGCTGAGGAGGCCCAGTGCTTGATGTATGCCTCTGCTGTTGGAGCATGCAGCACCTCAAAACTCGTGTCGTTGTTGTGCTGATGTTGTGGAGGACTGCGTGGCATGTCTTGCGGGGATGGTGTCATTGGCAGAGCTGCTTTTCCGGTCATGCTTTTGACTTCACACATCATTGTGGCTTTGCAGCTTTGTGGAGGATTGCGTGGCCTACCTGACAGGACTGGTGTCATCAGCTGAGGTGCTGCCGGTCGTTCGCCAGCAGCGCGACAAGATGCTCTCCCGCGTCGCCATTGGTGCCCTGCAGGTGGTCTTCATTCTGCATCCAGTGCATCAATCACCTCGGTCCGACAGCGGTGGAACACCTGTGTGCAGAATAATCTATTCTAGATGACAACTTCACGGCACTGATTCTCTCTTCGTCAGCTACCTGCAAGCCTGCACAAAATGTGGTTGGCGTGGGGATATGACATGTGCACCCAGTGGCAACATGCCAATCCGCCCCTGGCAGGATGTGACTTTTTCATGCCTCTCGCAGGCAAGCCTGGACGCATTGTCAATGCGCGACCTGGGCCGAGCGATGCAGGCTGTTACCGACGCCTGGGCGCTCGGGGCGGCCATGCCGGCCCTGGATGACTTTACCCACGTGCGCGCAAGGTAACCTGCCTGCAGTATCCCGTAGAAGCCGTAAACAGATGCTGTTGACATCATTTGCATCTCTCATCGCCGCCTCGGTGACTGTAAAGATCAATGGGGGTCACGGTAGTCAGCTGTGTGCTCGGTCCTGCCATGCCGGCTGGATGACTTCACCCAAGGTGCCATCAATCAACCCGTAATTGATGCTTCCTTGCATTGGTTGTTGCCTTGGTGACTGTTGAGATCAACGGGGGGTCTATAGGCAGCTAGTCACTGAGACTGCTTCACCCACGTGCATGCCACACATGGCAATACCGTAACTTCAAAACGTCTTGTTCGAGTGCATTCTCTCTATAGCTAGTCATACGGCTACAGTGCTTGAAAAAGAGCCCAAAGATCTACGGTCTTCCCTTAAGGCAATGGCATAGGCCACGTGAGCAAGCCTTTTTATGCATGTAGAGGCAGTTTGGGTGTACTTCTCCGATGTTACGCTGATCTATTATATTAGCACACAGACTTCTGACCAGCAATAAGGGAAGCAAGAAGTCAATTACCAGTGTAAAGATGCGATGCGTGGCTAATTAACGCGCAGGGGCGGGGAGATGAGGGAGCGGGTGGGGAACAGGTCCCCCCGCAAGGAGCAGAGGGGGGCCTTCCAAGTCAGCGGCCCCAGCACCTCCTCAGGTGCGGTCATCATGTCACCATGCGACTCTCGTCATTTGCTCCTCTGGTGCTGTCAGGAAAATATTAATTCGTATCCTGGGTCTTGTCCGCAGAGCAAACGATCCCCCAGCGCTTGTTCGCCACAGCTCCCTTGATGACATTTAGATGAATGGGGGAGCATATATGATTACATAATCTTACTTCATTTCAGCGCAGGTGCGGCAAGCCTACAGGCACAGTGGGCGGGTTTGCAAGAGGCGGCGGAGAGAGTGGTGGTGCGAGTGCTGGCGGGGCAGAGCAGCAGCTTCCTGAGCCAGGTCTGCTTCCGCCCTGTGTATGTCAGTGTGATATGTACGGTCTAAGGCTTTTTAGAACACGTATGGAAAGTGGCAGAGCGGCAGGAGGCATAAAGGCCGAGCGCGGACCTACACGCTTCAGTCACCGGAATGAGTACGCATGCAGATGAGGAAAACCACGTCACGGGCGTGGTAGCAGCCCTCCTCAAACGGTTCAGGGTTTAGGGTTGCCATTACTTACCCTGAGCCCTAAATACTTCTTTTTTGTGCAGGCACGTGCGGCTGCGTGGCTACCCGAACTGCCGCCGAAGGCCGCGGCCGGTGCATCACCCTACATCAATGAGATCCTCGACTTCCTCACAGTGCGCACCTCAATCCTCAGAACCCATGCACTCCTCATGAAACCAGGGTTGCCAGACCCCCTATTGGGTATAAGTTCATGGGTCCTTTTTCCAGCGTTTTAGGTTGATTGACCTGTCATGTCACACTCTGCCCAGTCAAATCAGCTGTCACTTCTGCATGGGGGCCTGCATGCATGGGGGCCCAAATGCAGCTGAGGGCCTACACAAGTTGGGGACAAGCCTGAGGGCCAGATATTGTGCAGGATTCGCTGAATTTGGGGGCGCGCATGCTGCCGCGCGAGCCGTACTGCGCGGTTGCGCGCGCAGCCATAACCTTCCTGGGCGACGCCATCATGGACTTGCTCGCTGAGGACGCCATTCCCGCCTACAACATGTGCGCCTCACCCCCTCGGAGAACCTCGCCATTCCTGCCATTCCCCTTCGGATATTTTGTGTTTGTTGGCTAGGGTTTGGGTTGTAGCTCACTGAGGTGGATGGTATCGTAAACCTGCTCACTAAGTACGCCATCCCAGCCTACCAACACGTGTGCTCCACACCCTCGGGGAACCCCGCCATTCCCCTTCAAACAGTCCTTGTTTGATGCCTAGGGTTTGGCTTTGGGTTGTAACATGTCGAAGTGGATGGTAACCATGGACCTGCTCACCAAAGACACCATTCCTGCCTACAACACGTGCGCGTCATCCCCCTTGGGCGCCCGTTTACCCCCTCCAGACACTCTTCAGCCAGATAGCTAGATCTGGTTGCAGCACATCGAGGTGAATCATGTCATGGAGCTGCTCAGGAGGCGCTTGATGATTCCTACGACAGGGCTCACTTTGAGCCTTTCATGCATAATGCAGGTATGCACTGCAGCAGCTGAGCAAGGATGTGGCCAAGCTCAAGGCATTTGCCGAGGCCTGCAACGTCCCGGACATGGCGGTGCGCCACTAATGCAACCCCCTGGTCAATTACACATCGACCGTGTTGTCCTGCTGGTTGTGGAATCATCTCATATTAGACATCGCCAGAGGGCCATAGTTTTGGAGACTTGTCATCCTGATCATCTACCCCTGAAGGTACCTGAGGGAACGCCTCTTTATTGGTGCAGGAGGGTCTGGCAGAGCCGGAGCAGTTCTGCCGGCTGATGACCACGAACACACTGGAGGAGCTGGTGGACGCCAAGCAGCGCTCGGAGCACTACAGCGCCATCAACTTCCGCCGCCTCTGCTCCATCCTCACCAAGTACCGGTGCGCCGTGCCCCTATATTTAGGGACTGGGTTCAGCTGATATCTAAAACCCTCAAATTATAGAAACCCTAAAATATGAAAACCCTTAAAATATAAAAATGCTAAAGTATAGAGTCCATGGGCATGCATCAACCAAAAACTTCTCACATGCGTTGGAATGTTGTGCCAACACTGGTTGGGGCATGCCTTCCTGAGAAGTCCCACATTTGCCGCCGCTTGGCGCATGCAGTGGCAAAGAGGCCCCAAGAGAAATACCATGCGTATACCTTCACTCTTTCTTCTGCCTTTTGGGGGTTGCATATGTATGCTCGCAACATGCATGCAGCTCAAGACTGTCTTCAGCAGTGAAGCTGCTTTGCTGTTAGAGGGCGAGTGGGGGTTTGGTGCATG